CCAGCATGGCAATGGTGTAAGGCGCAGTCGGCCCAAAGGTTGTAACTGCATTTTTAAGTTCTCTAATCTGCTTTATCTCAAAAGGCTCCCATGCATTGCGTCCCTGGCCCATAGCTACTTGTACAGGAAATATCCCGTAGGGGCCACTATCTATCCCAGGTGGATGTACCTCATGAGACAAGCGTCCCCCCTGCCAAAGCCGCCTGTAAAAATACCGACCCGCCGGCGGCGGAGCATAAGACAGCGGCCGTGATTGGGCGGAAAATGGGGGCCCGTGCATCACTTCCTGTTCTGGCGAAAGGGGAGGGAGCTCCCAGGCGGCCGCCTCGTGGCGAGGGATCGCCTCCGGAAACGGCCCCCAAGGTGGGGCGGAAGGCTTCGCCTCCCTCTCGCGCCGGGGAGCGCTCAGGAGCTCTCTACTCCTCCGCAGACCAGGTTGAGCAGAGCGCAATTCGCGGGGCAACGCTGGAAAAGAACCCTGCGACTCCTTATTGAGCGATTTAGGCTCCTGACAGCTGGTCTCTTTGGCCTCCTTGCCATTCAACTTTCCCTCGTCCTCGGAGTCAGACGACTCCGAGGCTAGAGCCCCGTCCTCCTCCTTAGCATCCTTGTTCCCCTTGACGGACCCCTCTCGGGAGCTCCCTGACTGGGCCTGCTCAGATACCCTGCGTACTTTTGTAAGCTCTTGAGAGCTTTCTCCACAACCACCCTCGCTCTTAGTGTTGCTACCTAACATGTTTCCCATCTTTTAATATGTTACTCACCGCGTGAGGCCCAAGGAATCCGCCACTTACGCGTGAGCCTGAGGGGAGTCTAAAAGCCCTGTAGGTGCGCGCCACCCAGAGCCCAGGCTTATCCCCAACTCACCTGTCTCGCAGCTCTGTACTGGAGCGTTGTCCGCTGTCACGTCTCGGGGGTGATCAGTCCCCGTGCGGACCTCCAAATGTCGATGTCCGCTCCCGGCCGGCAGGAAGGACACACGACAAAGTCTGGCAGTGGACAACCTTTTCTTTTTATTTTCCTTTCTCCGTACAGCCTGCCCTGGGATCGCTCCTAGCCGAAGCCTCCTCTGGTCCGCTCCCCGCGGCTCCTTCCGGGCTTCGCTCCGAAGCCTCTACCGGTCCGCTCTCCGCGGCTCCTTTTGGGCTTCTACCTCCGGGCTTCTACCTGGCTTCTTCTTCCGCCCAGGGGTGGCACCGGTATATATACGGGTACAGTGTCCAATCATGTTAAAGTAAGCAAGGCAAGCTGATTGGCTAACATTATCAGTTGCCAGGCAGACTATATTGTTGAGCGGGTTGTTTACGCGGTAAGCAGGAAACTAACGTGCTCGATGGGAGGGGCAATCTACCTCAGGCTTCACTCTTTACTACAGGCCTCACGTCCGCCAAGTGAGGCGACCGGGCTCGGGGCTGTGGCTCCCAACAACACATAAAAGCAGAAACAAAAAAAAAACAATATGAAAATAAAAAAGTGTATCTCTGCTACCACTGGTAGTCAAAGTAGGTAGAGTTCAGCTGGTAGCTGATGAATTCCAGCAAGCCAGATTTACAGCGTGTAGTGGATAGGTCCAGCAAGCTTGCACATTTAGCTCCACTTAAGTTCAAGTTGTTTTCTAGCTGTGAGGCTGGAACCTGATTTGTTCAGCCTGCAACACTGCATGCGTCCTGCTGGGTTGAACTTGGCTTCCTAGGCTGATTTGAATTTGGCAGCCTCACCTTGACACTGGGAACTGGTAGATGGAGCCAGCCCACAGGTGCTCTGAGTTCTAAGCTCAGCTGGCCCCTTTCCAAGATGGCTACTGGCCTATTGCCTTTTCCTTGGGGACATCTGGACCCAAATAACTTAACAGCCACAGCAGTCTGCTGTGTCCATTGCTCCATCACACTAGTGTTTCTCCACAGGGGCCTTTGGTGACACCAGCAGTGACACCACCATGCATCTGCTGGTTCAAGTCGTCTCTCCAACACACGTCAAAGCTCAGGGAGAAAGCAGCACTTGCCACCTTCTTTGTTGAAGTCTCCCTCTTTGCTCTCCCCATGGGCTTCAATTCTCACTTTAGATCCTTATTGGGTCCTGGAGACTGATTTCCCTCCTCTTCATATAGCTATAGTCTAACATGTGAATACTTTATAGAGGCTCTGTGTCCACCGTTCTGCCATCTTTTTGGACGTCTGTTTTAATTGTTTAAATTACAATTTTTTTTTTTGAGACAGGGTTTTGCTACGAAGTTAAGACATGGCTGGAGCTTACTTTGTAGCCCAAGCTGGTCTTGAACTTGCAATGATCCTCCTGCCCCAGCTTTCCTAGTGCCACTATACCCCAGCTTATTTTTCGAGACAGTTCAGGTTGGCCTTAAATTATGTAGTCTATACTGACCTCGAGCTGCAATCCTCCTGCTTTAGTTTCTTAAATCCTGGGATTCCCAGTGGGGGTCAACACCCTCAGCTCCATATATATACCATTTTCAGTTAGCTATGGTGGCACGTACCTGTATAGGACTCTCTGAGGCTGAGGCAGGACTGAAAATTCTAGTTCAACCTGGGCAACTTGGACAAAAGAATAAAGCGCTGGGGATATTACAGCCCTCAGGTGTGAAAGCCCTGAGTCCAATCTGTAGTACTGAAAAAGAACTGAAGGAGGCATAGATGCTTGAAGAAATCACTGACATCAACGATCAATGCAGTGGGAGGGGTAATAAATAGCCGAAGGACAACTGCAAAGATATAATAAGGCCAAATCTAGGAGAACGTGAGCATTACAGGTACTAAATGGTTATAGCAATGCACTGAATAATACACAAATATGTGGGCCAAATATCAGTGAAATAATATGAAAGAAAACTCATTTTAGAATTTCAGTTAATAAGAGAAGGAATGACTGAAATAGAGAACAGTTAAGGCAATTATTACACGAGTAACTGTCTCAGGAAAAAACTATGAATATCTAATTAGAGGACAAAACAGGAGCAATAGGAAACAGTCTGAAGACAGGTCTCAGAAGATAAAATCACAAAGGGACAAAGTTTCATAGTAGAGAAATGTGGCAGACATCAGATGCCACCAAAGTCAACGTTGATTATTACCAGTAGAGCTGGGATATGCTGACATGCATGAGGGTGCAATTTCTAGCACTGCCAGAACAAAAACAAACCTTACTAGTAACAGAAAAAAATCAACTTACCATCATGTACCATCAATTTTGTGATACTCTTCCCCAAGACAAAAACCTCACGCACTTAATTTATATTAGGCAAACTAAATTGAGAGGCCTCTTACAAATAACTGGCCTACTCCTTTCAAGGTCATGAAAGATAAACATCAAACCAGCACAATCCCTCTAACCAGATACTAAATATGCTGAAGCAGGAGGACATCACTTTGGAGTCTGGCCAATACTGCAAAACTTTGTAACAAAAACTAAAAATGTTGGGGGCTGGGGATTTAGCTCAGGGGCATAAGCGCCTGCCTTGCAAGCAGGCAGTCATGAGTTCGATCCCCGGTACCGATAAAAAGGAAAAAGACCAAAAAAAAAAAAACAAACCTAAAAATATTGATATATGTACTAATTAAAGAGATGACAATCAATGGAGGAATAATGAAGTGAATTTGCCCTAGGGCAGATGGTGAAACCTGAAGTGTTATAAAATAAACAGTGTAAGGTAGTATAACAGGTAATACTATAATAATAAAACTCTTGACTGAAAAAAAAAAACTTGACTGATAAACTGTCCTGTAGATATGTAAGATGTTAATAGTTGGGTACATGAATAGAGGGTATATGGAAATACTCTAATAATTTTTACAATGTGAAATCTGACTTTTGTTTCAAAATGAAACCTAATTTAAAACACAGGCTCTTCACTGTAAGAATGTAACTTGAACAGTCTCTCCATTGGTATGCCAACCCAAGCTTGATACAATACTTGAAATTCAGAATTTCATTTGTAGGCAAACAGAACATTAATCTTAATTCTAACTGGGACATATAATGAGACAGAGTCCAAACTTTCTAGTAAGCCCTGATCTATTAAACATTAATATACCCTAAAAGAAATACCTGACTTGTTTTTCAGTAAGAAAGAACAGTTTCTCTAACCACGTGGTCTGAAGATTCAAAATAATCAAAGAAATGACCAGTGGGCATCTGTATGATAGATGAATGTATAGTATACAGATCAGAAGGTAAAATTCCCTGTAATCCCAACACTCAGAAGATTGAGGCAGGAAGGCAAAATGCCATGTGTTCAAAACCAGCCTGGGCTACACAGTGAAAATAGGGCCAGCCTGTACTACAAAGTGAGACTGTCTCAGTTCAGTGGCAGTAGCACCTGCCTGGCAAGTGCAAGGTTGAGAGCTCAATCCCCAGTACCCTGCTCCAAAAGTGAGACTGTCTTAAAAAAAAAAAGGCAGTGGAAAAATGACTCTAAATGTATGTATCAAAATATGATCAGAGCAAGTGGGGAACATTTCATCTGTTGATAGCAAGGAGAGGTAAAAGGCAGAAAGAACTCTTCAAATAATCTGACAAAAGCCACTGAAAAAGTAGGATTTTTATGATTTTATAGTCTTAAGTCTATATATAGGACTGACAAAAGACGTATGTCAAAGAATACTTTCTAACCCTTAATGATTTTCAAGGATACACTTTGGCAGGATTTCCAAAGCACAGTAAAGACAATCCTTTGGTCCTGGAAAAAGGATTTGGATTAAAGCTATTCCAATCATGGCTGGGGATTTAGCTCAGTGGCATAAGCGCCTGCCTGGCATGCACAAGGTTTTGAGTTTGATCCTCAGCACCAAAAAAAAAAAAAAAAAGGCTATTTCAATCTGATATATGAACTATATGTGCCGAGTCAGGTAGACTCTAATAACTAAGCACTTTTAATTTCCCTTTGCTTTAGCCAACAATCTGGGCAAGAGCAACAATACTTCATTTGTCTCAACTTATCTGTTAAAAAAAAATGGAATAATTAAGTGAAACAGCAAATAAGAACACTATGGAGTTTGACAAAATTTATTGGTTATTTTAGTAAAGACATTCATCTCAGTCATTTCTCTCTCTTCATCTTGACCTTAGATGATTATTTCATTTGGGTCAAGAAGAGAGTACGTAGGAGAGGCATGTTATTTTAACAAACAGTAAAATGGACAAAAATGAGTAAGTTTGCCTAGATAAAAGTAAGTTAAATTCATGTATCTTGATATAATTAAATTGTGTAAGAACTAACAGTTCTATATACATTTCCATTGTTTTACTTGGGGCTTAATCTAAACTTTAATGTAAAAGAACAACTTATTAGGCATATGCACAAGTTTCTTCTCTGGAGTTACTACCTATTAAAAAAGATCAGCAAGTAACGACCACCAAAAAAATAGTCTGAAGCTGCCTTGAAATTTAACATTGTAGGAATTCTGAGGGAAATCATTCTATCATTTTTCTTTTGTTTGTGACTATGCTTTTAAAGAAGTGTTTAACTGTCACATTAAAAAGTCCATATACAATAGAAAAATACAAACAGCCTACAATACACAAATTTAAGCATATTATGTGATGAGCAATTCCATAAAATGTTTGAAGATGCATTTTCTTTCATTTTATTTTCAGTGCCTACAATATGCTTTTGAAAGGCCACTGGTCAGGATGTATATACTTACACCATATTGACTGTTCTAATAAATTCTGTAATGAATGCAATTCAAATTGAATTTAACAACTTAGTAACATAAATGCATAGACAAAGTTACAGAAAATGCATCTTATTGTTTTCCAACTTCATACAATGTTAAATTTTTTTTGTTGTTGTTGTTGTTGTTGTTTTTTTGGTGTTTATACCTTTTAAAAAATGAAAACCAGCCAAATACTTAAGCAGTATGTACATTTGAATTTTTGGTGGTGGTCCGTATTTTAAAAGAAACAGCTTCCTTATAATTTGCCTCAAGTTCTGGTGGAAATGCTTACAGGAACTAGCTAATAAAAATCAAGAGAAGCACATTCAAAATACTGATTTACTTTGGTAGCAAATGGCTGTTCTTTGAAGACTAATGAAGACAGACAAGACTATTAAGGTGAAATGGGCTATTTCAAATACTCAATACTTCACATAAAAATTTAAAAAAAAAATTTTTTTTGTAAAAGAGCTAAGCATTTGTATCCACTGATAGCAATGCAATATCTAATATATGACGACTTGAAACAAAACAAATGCCCATAAGGAAAAAAATCCTTTTAATTTTATCTAAATTTACTTTCAGTCAATAGTTCTGCAACATTTTCTTTTCAATGTGATACTCCCGCTTTCTCTCTATAAGGGTGTTCCTGGGAGCCAGACATTTTAGGTAATGAGGGAGTTAATTTAGGAGTAACTGCTTGCAGTTTTAAATAGTAACTTTTTGCTTCCCTCTTCATGTGCTAATAATTGTGTCTAAAAAAATATGCAGTTCTTAAAAAGGTACCACCTCTGATTTCTTTATTATCTGTAACCTTTGGAAACTAATCACATGAAACTACAAAATTAGCAAATGTCTTGAAATCTGTATATAAAACATAAATTACCTCTAATTTCAAACTCTCACTTATTAGTGTACCACTCAATCTTAAAAAAAAAAAAAATGAAAAAGCAAAAGCAAAAGCGGCTCCAAAGATAGTCTTATACCGTTTTTTAAAAAAAGGAAACTGTTCCTTTTAACTTTACACCCACCCCACACCCTAATTCAAAACACATCGTTTAATTGTCTTGGTCGTGGACATTTCCAAGATGAGATTTTATATTCCGTTCCCATAGCTTCTGGTTATCAGAAAACCCATGCTTTCCTTTATTGAAAGAGTTTGGTCCAGCTGATGTTGGTGTATCCCTGCATAAAAAGAAACAAAATTTATTTAAAACATTATAGGTGTGTTTTGGGCTGTGTTAAACTTATTAACATACATTTTAAAAGATTACCTATTGTAAACACAAGCTGAGCCTCTACAAAGAAACACAAGCTGAGCCTCTACAAAGATCTTTTAAAAATATCCTTTTTGAAAAGGTGGTGGATAGGTTAAGAGTAGAATATAGAGGCTCCCTGAGACAGACATTCAGATGCTAAAATAACACAACGTGGGGAGTGAGGGACAGAAGGATCCTCTTGACCCAGGAGAAACTAAAGCAAAAAGAACCAATCAAACATGCAGCCTTGGGGCTACTATTGAGGCAGCTAAGATTCCATGCTCTCTCGTGCCTGAATTCCTACCACTTTGACTCGCCAGAACAGCAGTTGCACTGAAGTGCAGTCACACTGAAGTCGGAGTTCAGCAAGCCCAACGGAGAATGGAGCCGGCATGGACATGCATTGATCTGCAGTGAGTGATGGGAATAAAACCATTCCACGGGAAAAGGGCACTAACGGGAGGACATTTTGGAATCGGGCAGGACTGGCAAGAGCAAGGAACAGCAATGGCTTCAGTCAGTTGTTCCCTCCCAAGACAAGATTGGTGGGGTATGCTTGGCCTGGGTCACACCAGTGGCTGAGACCCAATAAGCTGTCCCAAACCAATTCCCTACACATGGCGCACACCGAACACACTGAAGGCCTCAGGAGGTGATTGACCTGGAAGGGAGGAGCCAGCATATGCCGCCCCTGTTAACACAATAACACACTGGATTTCACAGAATTACCTAGCCAGCATGCTTCAGAAGAACCAGAACCAACAAGGAAAGGGACTGGACCTCCTTTATTATGTCTGTATCGAAGAAACCAAAAACATGAGAAGAGAAGCAACAAGAAAAAGTCCCCAGACCCCAACCCTGAAAACACTGATTCAGCAGAGGCAAATACAAAAGAGATTGAGGACAGCAAACATGCAATATCAGATACAGCATCAGTAGATAGACATAAAGAGATATCTTCGGGACCTCATAGACAAGTTCAAAAGTGAAATATTTAACCAAGTAAAGCAAGATATAAGTAGATTAATAAAAGAAACGCTAAGCATCTCTCAAGAAGAATGGAGGAAGCACAAAAAAAGAAGAGAAACGTTTGATGAAGAATATAAAGAAAACACAGAATACATGAAGCAGGTTCAAAGAGATTACCAGGAAATAAAAAACTCCATTGAAAGCTGGCAAAAGTGCTTGAACGAAACTAAGGATAGATTATGCAAACTGGAAGACAGGTTTGCAGGTGATCATGAGAGGAAAAATTTCTTAAAAATAACAAGGAAACAGGCAGTAACAATACAAAGGCTAGAAGACGACAAGAGGATCTATAACTTAAGAATAAAGAATGTGAATGAAGGGGCTGGGGATTTAGCTCAGTGGCATAAGCGCCTCCCTTGCAAGCAGGCAGTCGTGAGTTCAATCTCCAGTACCAGTAAAAAGGAAAAAGACAAAAAAAAAAAAAGAATGTGAATGAAGAAGCAGGGGTAAAAACAAAGGAATTACAAAGGCTATTCACAGAAATAATTAAGGAAAACTTCCCAAACATAGGAAAAGGAAATGATATTCAGATGTATGAGGCATACCGAACGCCAGCCACCTACATCCAAAACAGAGCTACATCCAGGCATATAATAATCAAGATCCCAGAAATCCAATATACAAACAGAATATTAAAAGCTGACAGAGAAAAGAAACATATTACCTATAAAGGAAAACCCATCAAAATCATGGTAGACTTCTCAACACAGATCATCAAATCAAGAAAAACTTGGAGCGAAATATTCCAAGCCCTGAAAGAAAATAACCTCCAGCCCAGATTGACATACCCTGTAAAACTGTCTCTAGAAATTAATGGAGAAACAAGATGCTTCCAAGATAAAGAAGAACTGGAGAAATTCTCAACCACCAATCCAACTCTACAGAGAATACTGAAGGACATTCTAGAAAGAGAGAAAAATACTAGGATTCCATGAACAGTGGCAGAGAGGCCTCAATGAGTGGAGCAGAAAGTGGAATGAAGAAAAGCAGACAACTAATGGCAGAAAAACAGCACAAGAGAAATGAGGCAGAGTAGGTAGGCTATAATCTCTAACACAGATGCCTCGATACACTAAAAAAAAAAAAAAGAGAGAGAGAGAGAGAGAGAAACAGGCAGAGTAGACCAGGAGGCAGGGCCCACCAAGATGCTCTTTATAGGAAATATAATTAACATGGTTTATGGTTTAAAAAAAGGTTTATGGACCAAAAATCAAATATGAGAAAACAATGCTCTATGTGATAGGGAATAATAGAAGAGAGTAATAGAAGCAACTTGACCAGTATTTGTAGATACGTTGGAAAGACAGGCTTTAATAGGTAAAGTAATATAACTAGAGATCAAGTCCAGGAGGGAGAAGGTTCGGAACCACTAAGGTAAATAACAGGTTGCCCTCCCAATCTAAAAACTGAGGGTGTTGGTGAGACCCAAAAATGCACAGTGCACCCTGGGGGAGTGAAAGGGGAGGAATAGTCTTTTAAAAGACAGCAGAAGATATTAATAGTGTATCAGGATTTAAGATCCACATTACTCACACTGCTCTGCTTAGATTTTATTCTGTCCAGTTTGTCTACTTGCACTAGATCTGAGGGCACAGATAGCTATCCCCAAAATAACAGGATATAGTACAGTAATCATCTGTAATTTCCTATTAACTAAGTTTGGAGCCCTGTATAACTTATACTGTTTTATCATGACTGATATTAGTCAAATCTTGTTTGTTTGATTGTTGTCTGGTATTGACAGATTTTATTCAAAACTGTTATGATTGACAGTAACAAGTCTGAGAGAGTACAGGCAATTACACTGAAGATGACAAGATTCACTACAATACACATGCTGGTTTGATTATTACCTATTTTGTTTTTGAAGTTTTACACGATCTACAATGTTTTGTTTTTATTAATATTATGTACTGTTATATTCAATTATACTATGTCTGATGATATAGATAATTCTATTGAAGATAACAAGAGACAACATAGTGACCTTTGTAGAACTCATTGTACAGTGGTTTTGTTTATCTTTTTCGTTTCATGTGTTTATAGGAATATGTTTTGTTTGGTCTTGCTTTGTTTCTCCCTCTAATATAGAAAAGATAGAAATACATGTTAAGACTCAAGCATGCGTAGAATCTATAAACAGTTTACGAGAACTGATCTTATAACACATGATGAAATGAATAAATACTTTGAAGAAAAAGAGACACTACAGTACCCAGTGCTGATCCCGTAGTGTCATGATATGAAATCCAGCAACACTATTATTCTTTGTTCAGAGTGATTTTAGCCTGCTATAGTTTAATTTCAACATAAATGAAGATATGGATAACTGCATGTATGTTTAAGTATATAGGATTGATAACTACGTTTTTGCTGGATAGTTGAACAGAACGTTTTACAGTCTCTGTTTGAATCCTCACTTTATATGTTCCACTTTTGTATCTTGAACCACTATTTGTAAGGCGACAATCTATAATCATCAACTAGTGATTTCGTACTGTTTATTGTTTCTTTGAAGGTATGTATTATTTCTACCCGTTTTCTGTTTTGTTTAGTCTTTCTTTAAATAAAATAAAATAAAAAAAGATAATAGGTAAAAATAAATAAATAAAAATATCCTTTTCACACACATAATTCTAAGATTTCAGACTCACTAGGGCTGAGTGAAGTGGTGCCAGAGACTGAACCCACAGTGTTTCCTCCTTTAGATAAGTGCTCTACTAGTAAGCTACATTTTTCAGGCCAAACGTGTAGTTTTAACAAACATTTAAAGTAATCTCTAGGCTGGGCATGGTGGCACATGCTTGTAATCCCAGAACTTGGGAGGCTGAGGCAGGAGGATCGTTTTAAGTACGATGCCAACCTGGGCTCCAAAGTGAACCTATGGCTAACCTGAACTGCAGAGCAAACTATTTAAAAAAAAAAAAAAGAACTAAAAAATAAAAAATAAAGTAATCTTGATATGTAGCTGAGGGTGGCAAACACAAGTTTCTAAAACTACTGCCTGAGGACTGGGGATATAAAATCCTTGTCCTGCAAGCACAAAGCCTTAAATTCAATTCCTAGCATTCTAACAAACAAAATTTTTTGTGCAATATATATCTGTTATCTGAAACCCATTAATAGGGTTATAAAATCAATTTAGTGGCTTGCCATCAGCATTTGTAAAAAATGAAAGATATGAAGACATTACTCATAGAAAAGTGCAACATGAATTTGTTTCAATTTTATGTGTTTAATTATACATGTTCAGGGTATGAAATTGGGTAACAATGTCAGATGGGTTTCACACTTTGATCCCAGTATGAAAGAATGGCAAGCATGCAGTCACTGAGACTGCTTCTATATAAACTATGAACTGAAATTCTCAAGATTAGTGTACATACATGAATTCTGAAGTTAGTACTTTGTGTGTTTGTATATTTGGTAGAATTGGGGACACAAACCTGGGCATAGTGAAGTATACCTACAATCACAGCTAAAGGGAAACCAAGGCAGGAGTATCATAAATTTGAGAGGTACCTGAGTAACTTGGTGAAACCATCTTAAAATTAAAAACTAAAAGAAGGGCTGAGAATGTGGCTCAATGCTTGCCTAACATGAGTTTAATTCCCAGTATAATACACACACAAAAAGCAGGGGTGAGGGGTATAGTTAGGGTTAAGGTAACATCCCCAATACTGGGGACTGAATTCAGCACCTTCCCTCCCTGAGTGCTGGGATTATAGGTCTAAGTAGTATGCCAGAGCTTTCTCATGATCATCTAGGTCATCCATTTAAGCTCATGAAGACAAGAAACAAAACATCTTACTATTATCAATGTTAGCTGTATGAAAACTACAAAAATGGAAGAAATTTAAATATTTTTATCTTATTTTGGTATCTGGCAAGTAAGTTACACAGTGCAAAAGGTCATATAAGACCAAGAACAAGTGGTAGGAACATCATTTTAAGTGAAATAACCAAAGCCCATTTTTTTTATTACATAAGAATACATTTTTAATTTAAATTTAAAATCAAAAACATTTCCCATAATTTTTCTTTTAGTTAAAAAAAATACAGGTTACACAGTCCGGTGCGGTGGCACATACCCGTAATCCCAGCACTAGGAAGGCTAAGGTGGGAGGAATGCTGTGAGTTCAAGGCCAGCCTGCACTGCGTGGTGAAACCCTGTCTCAAACGCCCCACCAAGTACATATAAACTACATGTATCAGAAAAGAGATAGCCTTAAATTATTACTTTTAAAGATATCTTCTCCTACCAGGACAAAAATCAAAGATTATTAGTAGCTCACAGAATATTATATCTTTATGACTGCCCTATCTTTTATGTATCTTTAAAATCCAAATTAACTGATTAGGTATACTGAAAATTGTTTTGCACAAATATCCAAGAAAAACCTAAATTTTAAAAACATTATGTGTAGCTGGATGGAGTGGTGCATGTTAATTCCAATACTCTGGAGGCGGGGACAGGAGCACCCCAATTTCAGGGTCTGCCTATACTACAGTGAGTTTAAGGCCAGCCTAAACTACATAGCAAGGCCCTGTCTTAAAAACCAAAAACCAAAACCAAAACAACACAAAACAAAAAATGCAAACATTTTTTGCAATTAACTTTTGTTCTTGACACCTATAATTTTCTGTAGTATTTATGAAAAATTATAATACCTTCCAATATTCTTCATCCTCATCTTTGCTTCTGGAGGCATTTCCTCAGGTTCACTCTGAAGGAAAAAACATGAATATATCACATATTCAAATTAATTAAATTCAAACTAATTACTAGTCACACTAACTTTTTTCTCTTTTAGTATTTTCAATATTATAAACTTCAGTAAAAAGAAAAATGCACTGAATTATTTGTCTCTATAGTCTTAAAAAAGTATCAGGTAGGAATGGTGGTATGTGCCTGTGGTATCAGCCTCTGGGAGGCTGAGGCAAATTCAAGCCAGACTAGGGAACTTAGCAAGACTTTATCTCAAATTAGTGCAAAGTCCCCGATTCCAACCCCAGTGCCACAAAAACAAATGAATGAATGGAATTATGTTCTAAAGGAAACTGATTTTGAATAAAAAGTTTGGAAAAAAATTCATATTCTAACACTGTACAAATGAACTGAAACTATCACTTTATGTACACGTATTGTAGCTAAGTAACACTAAAAAAAATTTTTTTTTTGTCTTTTTGAGACTGACCTTGGGCTCACTTTGTAGTTCAGGTTGGTCTCAAATTTGCAAAGATCCTCCTGCCTCAGCTTCTCAAATGCTGGGATTACAGGTGTGTATGACCATGTCCAGCTAAGATTAGTGGTTAAAAGATTATCTTCACTGCTATATTTACTGCCCTATTTTTTAATAGCCATGATATGGAATTAACCTAAGTATCTATCAACAAATGAATGAATAAAGTATATCTGGTATACATTTTTACAACAGAGTATTTTCAGCTGTTAAAAAATAAAATTCTGTCATTTGAGGCAACATGGATGAGCCTGGAGAACAATATGTTAAGTGAAGTAGGCACAGAAAGAAAGCTGTATGTTCTTACTCATACGAGGTGGCTAAAAAAGAGTTGATTTAACAAAAGTAGGGTGTAAAGTAGTGAGTACTAGAGACTGGGAAGGCACAGAGTGTATGTACAGCAGATGGTACCAAGTATAGCCTGCAGTCTAACAGGAGGAATAGCTTCTGATACTCCACAACACAGTAAGGTAAGCATGACTGATAAGATTTAATTATACATCTCAAAATAGGAAGTGAAAATGATTTTGAATGTTTGTAACAAAAAAATAACCTAATGGATATATCAATTTTTTTTTTTTTAAATCGGTACCAGGGATCGAACTCACCACCGCCTGCTTGCAAGGCAGGCGCTTATGCTGCTGAGCTAAATCCCCAGCCTCGGATATACCAATTTAATCTGACAATCAATACACATACTAAAATGCCACATTGTACCCTATAAATATGTGTAATTTTGTGCCAATAAAAATTTTAAAAAATGTTTAAAAATCTCATACTCTAAAACTAAAACTATTGGTGACCATGTGCTTGCTACACACTAAGTGGTTTAATACACACTACCTTTTTTTTTTGTCTTTTTTCGTTTTTTTATCGGTACCAGGGATTGAACTCAGGACTGCCTGCTTGCAAGGCAGGCGCTTATGCCGCTGAGCTAAATCACCAGCCCCCATACACACTACCTTTTAAAATCCTGACTATATACAGTAGTAATCTCACTATGGGGGGTATGGGTATCATCATTTATATTTTGCAGGTGAGGTTAAGTTGCCTAATGTCACAAAGCAAATAACTATAATAAAAACTCCCACAAAGCTAAAAAGTAGCAAAGGAGATATTAAGACAAAGGCTCTTAACCATTTTACTACACTGCTCCTATCTCTTTTACTACAAAGACATCTTAAAAGCCCGCTTCCTAATACCTATCCTTTTTATTATTTTTTATTTTTCTTGGTGCTAGATCTCAAACTCAGGGCCTAGTGCTTGCTAGCCAATTGCTCTATCACTGAGCTACTTTTGTATTTCAACAGTTACTGAAAATTGTGAGACAAGTTCCTTTCAGATACATAGCTTTCTGAATAAATGTTACTACTTAGTTAAATACTGTTCTAAAAGATTCTTTTAATAGAGTTTCTACTGGTCAAATCTAAGACAATTTAAGCATGAAACCATGTTGAGTAAAGTTAAGATTCCAGGAGTCTACACTTACATAAATAAATTTTAAAACTGATAAAAAGCTCTTCTGAACTGTAAAACTTAATAAATGTTGAAGGAAAGATGGAATTAGAAAAAATTTGGCAAATGTTTTCATAACTGATCCAGTCATCAATGGGTCATCCCTAGTGAGTGAATATTTGAAAAATCATGTATTTTTGTATATTCTCCTAATATACCCTATAAGCTACATTTTAATTGCAAAAGCTCAAATAGTAATTTCATAGTGAAGTAAACTGGAAGGCAGTATTTTAACCAAATGATCAAAGTTAAAATTGCCAAGAACTGGGGACATGGGCAGCAACTGCTTTCCTATATGATGGACTGAGAACTTGGCATTAGTTCTGAGGAATTCTTATTAGAACGTGGATCTGAGTATGAGGTAATGTAAGAAAGATGTAAATTGAAGGACACTGTACAAAATACCTGGCCTATACTCTTCAAAAATGCTAATGTTTGCAATACATAGAAAAACTCAGAAATTGTCCAAATTAAAGGAGATTAAAGATATACAAATGAAAATATTTTAAACTGTTAAAAAAATTTTTAAGATGTCAAACTCACAACTGCGTGCTTGCAAGGCATGTGCTTATGCCGCTGAGCTAAGTCCCTGGCTAACAAAAACTAAACAGAAAAACAAAAGTCAAAATCTCAGGGCTTCAGTGTACTTCAATAGCAGACTGTTGTGTTAGTACGTGTAGGGGGCTAGGGATTTAGCTCAGCGGCATAAGCGCCTGCCTTGCAAGCAGGCAGTCGTGGGTTCGATCCCTGGTACCAATAAAAAGGAAAAAGACAAAAAAGAAAGTACCTGTGAAGCCCTGGATTCAATACCTTGTTTACAGACAGAAAAAGCCAAAATTAAATAAATGAATGTTCCCTTTGTTCAATTCATTTCAGACTCTGATATATACCCAAAGTTATTTATGTTCTCAAAGAAAAACACTGAATAATGATTCTAGTCTTTTTTTATCTAAAAGACTACCACTATTACACAACAGAAGAGGGTTGTTTGAATCTGTTTGAAATTTCTTTAAAAGCTGAGCATGGTGGGGCTGGGGATTAGCTCAGCCGCATAAGCGCCTGCCTTGCAATCAGGCAGTCGTGAGTTCGATCCCCGCTACCAATTAAAAAAAAAAAAAAAAAAAAAAAGCTGAGCATGGTGGTACACACCTGTAACCCAATCACTTGGAAGGAGCAGGCAGGAGGATCACTGTGAGTTCAAGCCAAGTCTGTACTATGTAACAAGGCCCTTTCTCACAAAATAAAAATTAATAAAATTGCTTTACAGGTAGAGAATCCAGGAAAGGTGACACACACCTGTAATCCTAGCTACTTGAGAAACAGGTAGGAAGCCTGAAGGTTTGAGGCCAGTTTGGCAACTTAGCCAAACCTTGTCTTAAAAAATAAAAAAGGCAAAGGGTGTAGTTCAGTGCATGAAGACCCTAGGTTCAATCCTCAGTACCACAATTAAAAAAAAAAATAACAACAAGGAACAAAACAACTTGGGAAGTTAACATAGGAGGATCACCACGAGTCTGAGGCCAGTTTGGATTACAGATTGAGTCCAGTTCAGCCTGGACTATATAGCAAGACCCTGTCTTAAAACAAAAACAAAAACAAAAACAAACAAAAAGAAAAAAACAACTAAAAACTCAGGTTCAACATACATCTGTATTAGTATGTATCTGTGCATATTTACTTTCTCCACTTGCAAAGTATGACTATATAATGCATATTACATATAATGAATACATAATGCACTGTTTATGGAGGATAAAACAAGATTATGTGAAAAAATAACTGAATTGGGGCTGGGGATTTAGCTCAGCGGCATAAGCACCTGCTTTGCAAGCAGGTGGTCGTGAGTTCAATCCCTGGTACCAATTAAAAAAAAAAACAAAAACAAAAACTGAATCGTTAGGTACTCAAAATAACACATTATTATGATACAGGTGCTTATAATTTTCAGCCTGTGCACTATTGCACATGCTTTCATTATTCCTGTATTACTTTCCATACTATTACCTATACATATTCAAGTAAACAGGGTCAAATGCTGCCTAATCTCCCGAGTATATCAGAGATGCCAGAAAACTAATCTATATGTTAGATTAGTGCTATTCAGATTTTTTCTGGGTAACAAAATATGATTTTTCTAAATAAAACTTGGGCTCCTGAATATCAAACTGATGAAAACATACTTATATGTGAAACAAGGGCAGAATACTAGAGTATTGATTAAGTATCACTTTCTAATAGTTCCTAAGTACTATAGAATCCAAGAACTGAGAATTTTTTTTTTTTTAAAATACTGGGGATCGAACTCATAACCTTGCACCTGCCAGGCATGCTCTGTGCTGCTGAGCTATATCCCTGTTTCCTGAGTAGTTTTTAAAAAATCTGTTGTCTTTTTGAACCTGCAGAGCATGGTGGCATACATCTGACATCCAACATTCAAGAAGCTAAGAAAAACAGTTCAAATTCAACCTGGAACTGAGCAGGCAATAATGCCTATTAACAGCAGCACTCAGGACGCTGAGGCAAAAGGAACTCCTCAAGTTCAAGGCTAGCCTGAGCCAGAGTGACACCCACCCTGTCTCAAAATTGTAAAAAAACAAAACCTAAAACCAACTAACCAACCAGCCTGGGCAACACAGTTAAAACACTGTAAGGGGGAAAAAATGAAAAGCAAAAAGAACAGCCTTAACTAGGAAGGGTGGCTCAGCAGCAAAATACGTATTTACCATTCATGTCTGAGGCCCTGGGTCCAAACCCAAGTACCAATAAATAAATCAAGCTAGCCAGCCTTTTTTCCTCTTTAAACAGTTAAGACAGTAATGCTCCAAAAACAGTGATTTACTTGCAGGCTTCTATTTATTAATAACTGGACAAATGTAGCTCAGTGGTAGAACATTTGCCTAGCATGCTCACAATCTCCAGTACTATAAAAAAATAAAAACACTAAAACAAAATACCAACTCTAAAAATCACCAGATAAGCCAAATACTATATTCTGTATGAAAATACTCCTAAGCATGGTTGCACATGTCGGTAATTATAGCTAGTTGGGAGGGTGAAGCAGGAGGACCACAAGTCTGAGCTACATTTGTCCAGTTATTAATAACGAGAAAAAAATAGAATAAAGCCAATCAAAACAAAAACTGTGGCGCAGGACTTCAAAACAAGGTAATAGGAAATCACACTGTATCTAGTATCTATTCTTTTTTCTGAATGTCCTTACTATTCCACTTCTTCAGGTACTTCTACATTAAAAAAAAAAAATTTTTTTTTTGTATATAAGTTTCTGTTCTATTAGGCCATTCCTGTAGGAACACGTGTAGTTCACTTCGTATCCTTGTGCCTAGTATACAAAAAATACTCAAATGTATAGAATGAACAAAACCAAGGGAAAATCTTGGTTTACTAAGCTTCTGTTTTAGTAGCCAATTCATATTATTTCTCATTATACATACATAACTCCATTCCCAGTGTTCATGCTCTTCTGGTTGTGTGTGTGTGTGTGTGTGTGTGTCTGTTACTGTGAGGACTGAAACCAGAGAAGTCACACTGAGCTATACCTCCAGCAATCCTAAAGTGCTAGGATTACAGGCATGTGCCTCCATACCCAACAAGACAGATTTTGTTTTCTTTGGCTTCCCCCACCTCCAGTGCTAGTGATTTACATAATTTTTATTCATATAGTCTGTGGAGTAGTAACACTTATTACACAAAAGGGTCACATCTTAAATGGAGGCTAGTTTCTAAAGTCAGAACATAATACAAAAATTCTAATCAAAATTATGTTTGAAATTCCTCTGGTCATCCATAAGCATGTTAAGATTGGGACTTATGAGGGGTATAAGAACTGGGACTAAGAGCCAAAAAGCATCTTTTTATTTATTATTTTTGTGAGACAGGGTCTTGCCATATAGTGCAGGCTGGCCTTGAACTTGCTTATGTAGCTCAGGATGGCTTCAAATTCATGGCAATCTTCCTACCTCAGCTTTCTGAGTACTGGGATTACAGGTGTGTACCACCATGCCCAGCTTCAATAAGCATTTTAAACTTACTCTGAATCTAAGAAGTTTGGCAGAATCACCAATTCTTACATATTGGGAAGCTGCCTTTGGTAATTTGCAAGCACAACGTATCACCTCTGAAGATCCTCAAACTGAAGATCCTCAAACATAAGGATGTACTTAAATATTACCTAAATACATTTTTTCCTTTCTTGGGGTCCTACATACGTCCACATACTATTATTCATAACAAGCATTTGATGATGTGATTAAAATTCTTACCCTACAAGTCAACAATATTTTAACACAATTCTAACAAAAGACAAAAACAGAAACATTCAGTTTTTGTAGGTGTCACAAAAAATGTTTTAAAGGAAACTTAGTAATATCATTAACTAAATTTTCAGTTTGTCATTAATACTTTCCCTGATGAATTGGTTAAAGTAAAATAAAACTCGTAGTAACTTACATCTTCATCTTCATTAAAAGCTGCTGCTACTGAAAGGGTTTTTGGAGCAAGAGTTGGAACAGTTTCTTTAGGCTTCTGATGAAGAAACAGTAAAAAGAACATTATGTAAGTAATATTTATACAAGCTTATTTAATGATATGAATAATTTACCTTGAAACATTTAACCTTATACTTTCACAAACTTATAAGGATCTCAGTATTTCAGACAAATCCATTGTCTGAAAATGTGGGTTATCACTGCGTAGAATTTTCACTGCACTAATTTGTTAGTTTCTCTCCTGTAAAAAAAAGTTCTCTAGGATATCTATAAGAGTACTTAATCTAAGGAGAACTTGGTAGAGATCAGTAATATTTTCCCATAGGAGAACTACAATTAGAACAAAGTGCCTCCAGAACAAACAAAGCTCATCTTTTTCTACAAATTAGCTATTTACCATTCGTTTTGAGCCGGGTCTTGCTATGCAGAGTTCAGACTGGCCTTGAACTCATTCTGTGGCCCAGGCTGCAATGGTGATCCTCTTGCCTAAACTTCTGAAGTCCTAGGCTTGAATTACAGGTGTAAACCACCACACCTGGCTCTAGTTTACTACCCTTTTGGTTCTAAACATTCATCCACATCATCTTTGTATGTAACCAATTTACCGCAACTGTTTGTACTATCTCTATACCGGCATGAGTCATTTAGTCTCCCTTCATTGTAATCTGGCTCCCAACTTAACTGTTTTCCTGAAATTACTATTTTTTTTTCAAATGTGTCTATTTTAATTTCGCTTCCGACAGGTGTCTTTTTTTTTTTTTTTTAATCTTTTTTTGCTTTTTATCGGTACCAGGGATTGAACTCACGACTGCCTGCTTGCAAGGCAGGCGCTTATGCTGCTGAGCTAAATCCCCAGCCTGAAATTATTCTTTATAATTAGGATCACCAATGCCTAGTACACCTTGCATCTGAGTCTAATTACCAGCTTCCCTTGCTCATGCTGGGAAAGTACTCTACTACTGAGCTACACATTTCCAGACCATTTTATTTTGAGACAGGGTCTTGCTAAATTGCCTAGCTGGCCTTAAACTTGTTCTCCTGCCTCAGCTTCCCTACTGTCTACGATTATATGTGTTCTTGGACTTATTTTATTTTTTGTTTCTTCTCTCCTTCTCTGCTGCTCCTCACACTCAAGATATAGACACCTAGGATTCTACTGCTAGTGACCTTTCCTTCTCTGGTCAATTCCATTCATTTCTGTAGCTTTAACTACTCAATCCTCTGTCTACCCTATGTCACCTGTGTACTGGACTGCTCCATTTAAGAGTACCCATGAATACTCTGGCTCCATAGTTTTTAAAGTACTCAAGGCAGAAATCTCTTTCCTTAAACCTGTAAAGTCCTATTGATTAGAAACTACTAAACAAAATTCACTCTTCCTCTGCCATTACACCACTACACTACTAACTCAAATCTCTTAGAATAACTCAACTGGTCTACTAGTAGATATACTACCTCCCTGTTTTTGGGGGGTTTTTTTGTTGTTGTTGTCCTCATTCCTCTAATCTTCTGTACTGGTTCCAGAGTAATGTTTCTAGATGCAAATTTGTTTAAGTCTCAAGATTCCTTATAATTGTTCTATGCGCTCTACAATCTAAACTTAAAAATCAAACTGTGGTATGGGACACATGACAATTTTCTCAATGTAGCATGCACCTTCACCTCCAAACTGCCTTTGCCTGAAATACTTTTTGCTTTCTGCCTGACTTTAAGTACAATTCATACCACATTGTGAGTAAAGTTTTCTTGGACAAGCTGGACTAAGTTAGCCATCCTTCTAGTCACACTTACACATTTTTCATAATATTTGCTTTTGAAGGAATAATGTTACGCTATGCATAGTGACTCTAGAAATACCCTTTACTCTTTTAAAGATGCCAAGTATTTCGTGTCATAGACACAAGTAAGTACTGATTGATCATTTTTTTGTATACAAGTAAGTACTGATTGATCATTTTTTTGTATCATAATCAAAGCAAATGTTTCACTTTTGTATTAGCAGGGATTGAACTGATACACTTGTACTGAGTTAGATGCTCTGTTTTTTTTTTTGGTAAAGCTTATTTGCAAAAGTAAAAATGAAGCTTGGCGTGGTGGCCTATGCCTGTAATGCCAGCACCTGGGAAGCTGAGGCAGGAAGATTGTGGTGAATTAGGAGTTTGAGACCAGTCCGGGTTACAGAGTAAGCTCAAGCCGGCCTGAACCACCTAGCAAGACATTGTCTCAAAAAAAAAAAAAAGACAAAACGTAAAAGAGTGAGAAATTGGCTCTGCAGAGTAAAGTTGGGCCAAATAAAAGAGAAAAGGAAATATAAAAGTATGCTCTGGAAAAAGCAGGGTGGGCTACCATGAGGAAAGTCACAATAGCCTCTAACCCTTTTTAAAATCTGAGACATGGTTTGCTAAGTTGCCCAGGCTAGCCTCAAACTTTCAATGCTCTTGCCTCAGGCTCCCAAGCCACTGGGATTACAAGTGTGTGTCTCTGAAACTAACTACAGTACAACTTTTTTTGGGGGGGGGGGTACCAGGATTGAATTTAGGATCTCGTGCTTGCCATGCAGGCACTTACACTGCTGAGCTAAATCCCCAGTCCTAATACAACTATTTTTTAAAAATATACTACCACTTACTTCTTCATAAGAATTACAGTTTATTTTATAAAAATAAGCTTGTTTTCCAAACTTGAAGGTTTTACTGACTAGTTATTTTCAAGTCTTTCCATTTAAAATGAGCAGTAATTCTGAACTCGTATCAATGAGTTAGAAAAAGTAGAAATTTGGATTTGGGGAGTACATACAAGCATAGTAAAATACATTATCAAGGAGACTATCTCCATTAGAATTATATACAAGAATACATGTTTACTATACTATCAGAAATATTTAACTAGGTCTATGCAAGTTTTTAAAAAGGTAGTATACACAGGGCCAGGGATTTAGCTCAGTGGCACAAGAGCCTGCTTGGCAAGCATGAGGTTGTGAGTTCAATTCCCGGTACCAAAAAAAAAAAAAAAAAAAAAAAAGAAAAAAGTACACAAAAAGAATCAACTGAAATAGAGAAAAATAGTAATAAAGCGATAATATTACAAGCTGAATGTCATGCTCATTTTGGCAGCACATATACAAGCTGAATGTCTTTTATTAAGACTGAATTTTTCTTATATTTGGAGAAAAGGGAAAAAGGTAAAACAGAGAGTATAGGATAGGAATTGGGGATCCTAAGTAACAGTATCCTTTAAACAAGAATAAGACTACTAGAGATATTGCTCAGTGCAAGAGCTCTTGCCTAGTATGTGCAGGGCCCTAGGTTCGTTCTATCCTCAGCCTTGCAAACACAAAGCAAAACAAAACTCAAAAGGTAACTCAAGCTGATGCTTACAGGAAACTGACTAGACCATATTTTTAAAATACGTGAATAGCCGGGTCTGCTCGCTCATGCCTGTAATTTCAGCACTAGGGAGGCTGAGGCAGGAGGATGAGTTTGAGGTCAGCTTGAACTACATAGAGATCCTGTCTCAAAGAAAAACAAAAGCATAAAATACCTAAATGAATATTTATGGCAGAAATAAAGCTGTCTGCATCTGAAAACTACACACCAACTTTCACAGGACAAGGATAAGAAACTTAAAGGAATTTTAGGGTTTTCCTCATTCACAAAAAAGTAAATCTTTTCTAAAGCCAGTGGTAATACACTATTTAACTTTTTTCCTTAAACAAAAGATTTGTTTGAACTATTCAATCATATCATGGAATAGAAACAAGTACCTACAACTTCAATCTACCGTCTGACTACTTCTAGAGGTTCAATGGTAAATATGAAATCAAGGTTTACATCTTACAACAAGGCATCCAACACTGATCTGCAAAGAATTACTTTCATAAGGTACATAGTACCTATCTAATGTTCATTTATAATTCCAAATCCAGAAGCCTTTAAGAAGCAATAACTTACTAATCTTAATCTTTTTTTTTTTTTTTTTTGAGACAGGGAAGGTCTTTCTCTGTACTTCAGGCTGGCCTCAAACACGAGGCAATCTTGTCTCAGCTGCTCAGCTGCGGATTACAGGTATGTGGCGCCATACCTAGTTATTAATCTCTTAAGATACAAATAAGTGAGTTCTAGATATTTAGTTTATGTATGTGTGGTGCTAAGGACTGAACCCTAAATTTCTTGAATGCTAAGCATGTGCTCTACACTACTAAGCGCTTCCTCTGCTCATGGAAATATTTTTGTACTACTGAAACTAAAAGAAAAAAATACAATTGTTTCCAAAAGTATTTTTCAGAGGTTTTGCTCAACTCAAAAGGATTCTGCTATCACTTTATAAGTCAAGCTACACTTTTAGGCTAGCTTTGAACTTACTATATAGCCCAGGATGGCTTTGAACTTGCAGTGATCCTCCACCTTAGCTTCTAGACTGCTGGGATTGCAGATATGTGCCACCATTCGCAGCTTAAGTGTATTTTTTAAATAACTTGAGACATAGCCGGGTATGGTGGCTCACGCTTGTAATCCCAGCACTTGGGAGGCTGAGGTAGAAGGATCATTGCGAGTTTGAGACCAGCCAAGGCTACAAAGTGAGCTCAAGGCCAGCCTGAACTGCATAGAGAGACCCCGTCTCAAAAAGACAAAAAAAAAACCTTAAGACATAATGTATCAAGACTTTTCCTACACATTTAGGATGTGATGTTTTCACCACATCCTAAATATATTCAAACTTACACAAAGATTAAGCAATATATCTTTTTATACCTAATTTATCATAATCTAGTAAAAGGTTTATAAACAAATCCTTAAGACCTAAAAAACGTAATACATAAAATAACCACTCACACTTGATCCAAGTTTGATGGATATAGCTGATGCTTTCTTTGCTGTCTGACTACCTATGGCAAATCCAAACTTGGAGATCTTTGTAGGCTTTGTTGGGAGGTCTGCAGCTTCTTCTTCAGCTGATCGCTTCTCAGCGCTGCGACTGGAACTTTCCCCTCCATTACTGGAAGAAACAGTCTTAGTTTTCACAGGTTTTTCTGCTTCTTCTTCAGGTCCTGGTGAAGTCGAAACAACTTACCAAGATGAGCTATTTTTACTGAGCAGATTGATGGGAGCAGCAACCTCAAAAAGCATCGTTATAAGGAAGATACCTCTGCAGTTGTCACCTATTGCCCCAACAGTCTCTTCCACTGTTTGTTAGAGTATATAGCAGGAACTGAGATTGTGTGGCAGTAGAAGAGGCTCCCATGAATTAACTAGCATAAAATACAGAGCAATTTAAAATTATAAACACAGAGTTCACAAAAAGTAAAGACCCTTCAACTAAATACGACCATATAAATTGTACAATAATCTGGTTATTTGTGGAATGTTGTTTAGAAGATAAATTATTTTACACATACTAGTTTATGAGCAGTCATGTAACACATTTGGCTAATAGATTCTACTCTCTTCAATAATGTAATACTAATCATACAAACTACCTATTCATGAACAAAATCATTATTACCCAAACCACAGTGTTAACATAACCTATAGTTGTCTCAGTAACATGTCCTCCTGTAACACAATCTTAAGAGTTGCAAAAAAATTTCAAGGACCTCACTTGTCTCCTAGAGTAACCCCATTCTCCTCTAAAAACCTGGTTACCATTTGTTTTAAGCAACCTGCAAAAGCCATTTAAAGTCATACTTTGGTTTACATATTACTTTCTCATGAAAGAGTGATGTGCTAATTGTAACCTCAACAATAGAAAATGCGTATGTAGGTTTGGAAGGCAAGATGTCTTTGAATAATGTTCCTTCTCTTTGCATTACATCAATGGTTGAGATTGGATCTCAAGTATCTCAGCTCTGTGATGAGGAGGACAGGAAAACAATGGCAGATTATTAAAAATTTTATTTTCTTCCCCATCTGCTAATTTACTCTACTGAATGTATTTTGTTACAAGTCGATAAAGAATTTATTTATGGAAACAGAAGATGCTTTAAGGAATATCCCTGATAAAAGTGATAGAAAAGGAAAAAAGCTAGCATGGGAAGAAAAAACAAATCTAATTCAAATAGACTGGCAAGTAAAGGATTAAGTGGTTATACAGCCAGGCATGGTGGCATATGTCTTTAACCCCAGCACTCTAGAGGCTGAGGCAGAGTTTGAGGGCCAGCATTTGTTGTATAGGGTATCAAAACAAGTCTGGAAATAGTGTGTACACACACACACACACACACACACACAAAATCAATATTCAAATTAAAGAGGTTGTAACAAATAACCCTTAAAAAATATGATGCTAAGCATAAAATTTTTTAAAATCTAAGTTCATAATTAAAAACATTTTATTTTGTCCTGACCTCTATTTACAGTTTTAACTAAGTATATTTCATAGTAACCAACTGCTTTTCTGTGATGACACACCTCCAAAACTGAAAATTGATTGTACATCCTAAACATAAACTCACAGGATTTTACATACAGAAACAATCTATACACTTTAGGCACAAGATTTGTTCAAACACAAATCAAAAAGAATCTTTTAAAAAAATAGCCCAAAGAATTCTTAGATCTGATGGTAGTGTAACTCTGCTCTATACCATTCTACAGGTACTATCACTAAGATTTCCTGTACTTTTAAAGCCTATCTTTTCTTCTGGGTCTTACTTTACCCAGAAAATAATTCTGGAAAAGACAATTTAGAAAAATTAGAGCATAAATAAGGAAAAGGAAAAAAAAATCTTACCATAACATTAAATGTGACAACTATCTAAACTATTTGCTAATAAATGGAATACAGTACTATTAATTACATTATGGCACAGAGAAGGTTTCTAAGGAGACTGCTCCAGAAAAAAAGGTAGCATGGGAAAACTACTCTATTAATTAATCCACTGTCATTAAGTAATCAAATGCCAGCAACTATTTGTACTTGTACTTGTTTTTGTTATGTGAAGAGGCAAACTAGATTACCATATCACAAATCCACACACAAGGTGAAACACACTGTTTTTTTCTGGAGGGGGCAGCAGGATGTATCACTATGTAGTCCAGAGAGGCCTCAAACTAGTGGCAAATCTAATGACTCAGCCTCCTTTTGGAGTGCTGATATTACAGGCATGGGCCACCACATCTACCTGTCTTTTTTCCTGTTGCACTGCTGGAGATCAAACCTTGAGTCTTACACAGGCAAGAAAAAGCACTCCACCACTAAACTGCATTCCCAGCCTGTACTATGTTCATTAGATTATTTCTATACAGGACTAATTCCAGAACAAGCAATTTATTTCTAGACATACTAAATAGCTGTTAGGCCTATAGACTCTTAAGTTTTGTTTTGTTTTGTAAAGCAACTGTAAAAACAGTATCTTAGATCGGGTTTACTCTTCAGTGAAGTGATGGAGGGAGGAGAGTTAAGGAAGGTAATACACTATAAACTTTTCGTTTTCTAACCTTAAAGGACCTAATGTGTCACATGGATTGTCTTTTCAGGGGGCTGGGGTGGTGGCTCTGTGGTGGTCAGCTCCCCTAGAATGAACTGGCCCTGTGCTCCATTCCCACCACTGCAATAACAGAAACACTTGTCTTTTCAATTATTTTTGCTCCAGGACCATTCACATTAAACTTCGTAAGAAAAGGTTTAGTATAGGTTCTACTCTTTGCCTTCATATACCACTAATTTTGTATACGTCCTTATACTACTCTCAGGGATAACACGGAAGTCTGAATACAGAATATCACTTAATGCATTCTGAAGACGTTATGATCAGCTCGTTCATACTGTCACTAATCTTGTGGGGGGGGGCTGTTAAGCCACCTAAATATCTTGACATGAGGTAAGCTGGTCCAAGAAAAAGGCAGATGAGCTTCAAAGAAAGCCACCCAAACCCTATCATTAGACCCTGCAGCTCAAATCTCTTTCCCTCCACAAGTCGTCCCATCCCGGTCCAGGGTCTGCAGCACGCAAGAAATAGAGCGGGCCCGGGTCAGACACCTCTGTGAAAGGGGAGCGAAGCGTAATGAACTCCTCCTACGTGTAACCGAGAGGCCAGCACCTTCGGAAACTCGGCCTGGGGCCAGTTCCTGGGGCCACTCTGAGTGGCTTGAACTCTGTGTGTGTGTGTGTGTGTGTGTGTGTGGTGTGACGAGTGTTTCTGGCGTGTGTTTTGTATGATGTGCGCCTCCAGTGTAGAGGGAGCGGTTCCTGCACCGCGGCTCCCAGTCCAGCCTCAAGTTCAGTCTCCCTTTCTGGTGCTCATCTCCCTTCCTCTTCCTGAATACGAGGGCTTCTAGAAGCCACAAGGTGACGAACAGTGGCTGACTCTCCTGAGGCAAGGAGGAAAGTGGCCTGGAAGCCAGCGGGCCCCGGGCGTGCCCCGAGCTCATCTGGGCCCTGTACCTAGCTGAGTGAACGCCAGATCCGCCCATTCTCGCTCTATTCCACTCCGCCCACCCCAGGGAGCTCAAAGAAAGGCCCGGAGTATCCCACGCAGCCCGCGACGCTGGGGTTATGTTCACCTCCGGCGGCTCCAGCTCGCTTGGACTTCTCAGGCTTCTCCTCTCCCGCCTTTCGGTCCGCCATTTTCCCGGCCGCGGCCTCCGCTGCAGCCACGCCAAGGACGTCACGGTCCCGCCCAGTAACCACCGAGTTTTGAGGCTAGCTGGCGAGGTAGCAGCCTAGAGCGGCCCTGGAGCCGGCAAAGGGGAGCCTTCAGATACGGATGTGACGTAATCTATTAGTTGCCCTTGCAGTGAGGGAGGGAAGGAAGGAAGGAAAAGTGGAGGTTTCCGCTGGGGACTGGTTAGGGGTGCCGTGTCGCGCACATAGAGGAGCAAGGAGAACGGGAGACTAATCTTGGAAACACTGGTGGAATCCTAGATGAAATCTGTGTGCTTAGGTGTGGTTGCCGCTGAGGCGGGCAGGGTCTTTCCGGCTTTACTGTGTGCCTGCCTAGTCTTAAGTAAAAGGGAGTGGAAAAGGGTTCCATATCAACAGGAAAAATAAACATTCATTGACCATTCTCTAGTGTTAGACACCTTTCATACACGACTGTTTAATTCCCAATAGTCTGGTATGGAATTAACCCTGAATTTACTGTGAGTTGAGACCAGAGGTAATTTTTCCAAGATCACGTAGCTAAGTGATGAAGCCACTTTGTTTTTACAAGCTACAAATTCTCTCAGTTTAAGACTACCATAATTTCTGCCTTACCCAGAAACCCTTAATAAATTCTTGAGGTGTATAGAGTGAAGTCCGTATATTATATTAGGCCCCAACGTTATTTTCTTTCAGCCTCTCTTCCTTATTTCTCTGTATTTATCCTATCCTCTCTAAACGGGGTTATTTACTTGCCTATAGAGGGAATTGGGTTTTGCTTGTCCTACAATACACAATCAATGTTAGCGGTCTTTTTCGAATCCCTTCTGTGCCCTTTCCTAATTGAGTCATTTTGAGTTTGGTTACTGCTCACAGATCTGCCTTCACTTCTCTAAAAAAAATAAATAAATACTACTTCTTCAAAAGGAATCAGCTGGGGCAAGGTAACGTATGATTGTAATCTTAGCACTGGGGAGGATGAGGCAGGAGGATCCTTGCATGTTCGAGGGCTACAAAGTGAGCTCAAGGCCAGCCCGAACTGCATAGTGAGACCCTGTCTCAAAGATATTAGAAAGAAAGAAATCAAATGAGGTAATTTCGAAACCAACTGGTGGTGCATATGGGAGGTTAGGAAGAGAAGATTGCCTCATGTTGGAAGCCAGCACGGGTTACACAGTAAGTTCAGGTCACCTGAACTATGTAACAAGACCCTGTCTAAAACATTTTTCAGTATGCCATTGTTTGGTCACTTTATCCTTACTTCAGAGTGTGTGTTGTCGCTCTAAAAGCCCATAGCTTGGTGGTAGAGTATGTCCTGTCCTTAATACACGTGAAGCTGAGAGTTAATACCCAGCATCAAGAAAAGGAAACCTTTAATAGATACCATTGATAAACATTTCTTGCCACTTTGTACCAGGCGTTTCATAATCGAAAGCTGCTCAGTGTTTGTAAATGGATGACTCCCAGGCTTCAAGTCAAGAATGTGAAAAGAATTATTAACATGTGTTTCCCATAACCTAAGTATAGTAGTTTGGTGGTGATTTTGAAACCTAAGTTGAAATCCCTTGTGACACATTATATGTGAAACTGACCAGGAGACTATCTTAGAGCAGTAGTTATTAATTTGTGTTTCTTACATTTTCCTACCTGTGCTCTTTACAAGATAATCATTGAGATTCTCACTTGTATTTTGAAGTGGGCACATGAGAATCTACAAAATACTGAGATCATTCAAGATACTTGAAGAAAAATTTTTGTTTTTTGGAAAAATTTCTAATAAACTGCGAACCATGTCATGGGCTTGCTTAATGGTAGCTATTTAGAACCCTTAAAGAACTACTCAATGATAGTTTAAAAAGTTGAAATGGGAGGTAATATAAACAACTGCTTTTTCAAGTTTGGTGTGTGGTGTGTAAGGTGGCAATTATATGACTTATTCATACAGCATGTCAAGTATATTTGCAAACATTTAACATGAGACTATAACAAAATGCTTTAAATTAAATACTACTGTTACTCTCATTTTTATGGACAAGGAAACAGACATAGAAAGTCATAGTCAGCAGTGGACTTGAAGTGTAGGCTGGGAGCTACAATAAAATGTAGGCTATTGGTAGTCCTAGCCCTGCCAAGCAAATTTGTTTTTGTTTTGTTTTGGTACCAGAGATCAAACTCACGACTGTGAGTTTGCCACTGAGCTAAATCCTTTGCTCACAACCTTGATCTCTTGTTCTTAACCACTTCACTAATTGAAACACAAGACCCTTACCATTTAACAGGATGTAATGAAATTGATTCATAATGTACTACCCGTTGTCAGGTCACAAAATTTTTTCAGGGTTTGTCCTGATCCCACAGCTGGATTCTACATAATTTAAAAGCTGGGAATCTAAAATAAGAGATTGTCACATTTGATGTCACATGCACATCCTAGTGGTGGGGAGGCTGAGGCAGGACCAGCCTGGACTATATAATGATCCTGTCTCAAGAAACAATAAAGTGGGACCTCATGACACCTGCAATACTAGCACTCTGGAAGGCTAAAAAGAGGATGAGCGTGTGTTCGAACTCAGTCTGAGCAATTTAGCCACTTAGCAAGACTCTGTATTCAATATAAAAAATTTAAAAGGGCCGGGAATGTAGACCTGTAGGGAGGCTCTGGATTCAATGCCCAACATTATAAAAAGATTTTATGAATTCCAAGTCTATAATGAAGCTGACTTATTTTGAACATCCATGCTTAGAAATAATTTTTTTGGAGATAGGGTCTATGTAGTTTTTTTTTTTTTAATACTCAGTGACAATCAGATGTAGTTTAAGTCTTAAAAGTTGCAGTGATCCTCCTTCTTCAGCCTCTTAAGTGCTGGAATTACAGGCATGTGTCACTACATGTGGAAAAAAAATTTTAATGATGCAGATAGCCGACAATGAATAGTGTTCCTGAAGTTCATTTTGCAGGGGAGTTTGCTTTGAATAGCCTTGACCTGCCTGTCACACTGGACTCATTTTTCTAATATTTTTATTCACATTACCACCTTTTACTACTACCCTTTCATTAAAAAAATTGATTTAGGGTTTCTTAACTTCAGGTGGTAGTTCACTCATTACATTCAAGCATTGATACAATACTGGGCATGTCATAGATGTTATGGCATATTGCTTAATTGAATCTTGGTTAAATAAGAGATGACTTGGCTATGCTATGAAAAATGAGTTTGTGGAGGTAAAACTGATTTCTTGCCTTTAGGAAAAAAAGATTTGGTTAACGTTACATGTATCTTGCCTATTAGTTTTCCTTTTCTAGGAAATGTTTCACCAGCCACAAGTTTTGAATGGAAGCCTCCATATTGTACAGACTGCACCCTTGGCTGCAGCTGGTTACAAAACAAAGACACCTTGCTCAAGCTTGGTTAATCATGTACTCATTCTTCCCTAGTCAACTGATTAGTATAGGGATGAGTAAGTCGTAACTCTTTCCAGGTTTCTGGACTTGAGAACTAAGATAGCCTATACCATTTCCTTTCAAATGGTTAAGACTTTCATAGGAAGCTCTGGAATTAGTAGTAGTTGTGCTTTTTTCTGTGGAGTAAGACTATAGTGCAAGCTCAGTTGTACAGAAATAATGCTATTTGCTGGAGCTATTCAGCTCTCTAGTTCCATTTGTTCCTGATGTCCAGCTATAGATTTTCCTTTTGTACTTACTGGTTGTTTAAGCCTCAAGAGATGCCTTTTTTACACTTGTGGTAAATTGTTCTCTTTTTCCCCCCAAAAGATTTTTGTCACCAGAGTCCCATGAGTTGTGTTTGTGCCACTTGATACCAGATGAGACCTAATACACCTTAGAAAAGTTTAAGATACAAACTTTAGGCAGGACAAGGCGGTACATGCCTGTTTCTACATCACTTAGGAGGCAAAGGCAGGAGGATCACCATGAGTTCACAGCTACATAGTGAATCCATGGCCAGTCTGAACTACATAATAAGTCCCTGTCTTAAAAAACAAACAAACAAACAAACAAACAAAAAAACCAAAAGGAAACAAAGTCTGAAACACTACTCAAATCACAGCAATGGTGAAAGTGTTTTATTGGCCTCATGTAAAGATTACTCCATTAAATCAACATGGGTACTGATTATTAAATGTCTATCATAAACAAAATACATTCTCAAAATTCTATAGAGATTTAAGTAATTGGACAACAACTTAGTTTGGAAATATTACCTTTCAAAGAAAGAGAAAATGAGTTCCATTAAAAAACAGAACTAAAGCAGGGCGTGGTGGCTCATGCCTGTAATCCCAGCACTTGGGAGACTTAAGGCAGGAGGATTGTTGAGAGTTCGAGACTAACCTGGGCTACAAAGTGAGCTCAAGGCCAGCCTGAACTGCAATAGGAGACCCTGTCTCAAAAAGACAAAAACTATAGGGGCTGGGTATTTAGCTCAGCGGCATAAGCACCTACCTTGCAAGCATGTGGTCATGAGTTTGATCCCCAGTGCTGATTTAAAAAAAAAAAATTGATCTAAAAAAAAGAACTGTAGTTTCATGCCATTTTATTTATGTGCCAGCACTTAAACTCAGGACCTCACACTTGCTGGGCAGGTGCTGTGCCACTGAGTTATGCCCCTGGCCCTTGTGCCAATTTATTTTTAAGCTGTCAAATCTTCTCATTCCTACCTTTTCCACGTCTGTCTACTTGAAGTATGTTTTGGAAATGAATTAAGAGTTTTTGCCTTCTTCAATCTGTTTACAAACTCTTGAGAATGCTCAGAAATGTCTAGATAACCATTATGTTTTCTCCTGGGAACAAATTTCAGGGCCTCTTTCCAATTACCAGTGTTTTTCAGACATAACAAAATTCGCATCATTTGGTCTAAGGTAAGATTTTTGTTACCAGAGTCCCATTGTAAATATTTATCTAATGGAAGACATTCTGTTGCCAGGTTTAACCGTTTTGCTTTGGCTAGAGAGGTACCTGGCTGCATCCTTTTATCAACAAATGAGCCAATTATATAAATTTTGTCATGTTTGTAAGTAGTCATAACATTGGGAGAATCTGCAGTTAAATATATAAGACTATCTTTTGGAAATAAATCTACATAAGACTTTTCTGTTGCTGTTAAAAGCAATTTGTCCCATTTTTCTCCATAATGTTTAACTAACTCTCTCTGGTAAGTACTGTCTATTTTAAGATTGCAAAAGTAAATATGAAAAGGGTCAACATCTCTTCTGTTGCATCCTTCACTTTCTAAAAGTTGGGAAACAGTATACTGCAGTTCCTTTGAATCCATATAATGATCATAACCCATATCAAAAACCAAAGGTTGTCCAAACTGCATAGCCTGGGCACCCTTCCAACCCATTGCAATGGTGTTATATCTGTCCCAAAGTCGAAGGAATAAGAAGTTTTGCTCTTTAGCTTCCTCAGTGGTTTCTAACAGCTTGGCCTGTTGTGCTTCTTCCTTTGCTGCTGCTTTCATTTGCTTTTTGTTTTGCCTAGCTCTTTTTACATTTTCTTTAATATACAAGTATTTTAAGTATTTTTTTTTTGATGACTTAGAAGCACATTCCATGACTGTCTTCAGTTCTTCTTCAGTGATATGTTCTGGTACGTGTTTCCCAAGCAATCTCCACATCTCGATTAATTCTCTGGTGGCAGCTAGTGTATCTTCATCCTTGTTGCTTGGGACTGTGGAAACAGCTTCTTGCATACCGGATTTCATTGTAGTTTTCCACCCATCCAATTCTAGCTGCTCAGGAGGGGATGTACCCTCCCTATTTGGATAAGACACAGCTGGTATCTTGGAAGACATATGTCTCTGTAGAATTGTTGAATATACATTTCTTCTCTTCCTAGGAAGGGTAAATGACACCAAATACCTGGCAAAAGGTCTTAAGAAAGTGCCACTAATATTCATTTTGAAGAATACAGATATGAAAAAACAACTTCTGTAAAAGAAGATAAATAAAATCAAGTTAGAAGATATTTTTAAACTTCCAAATATAAATCTGATACTAAAACGCAACTGATTTGTGAAACATAATGCTTATAGTCAGAATCCAACTTCTCTGGATTCTTATTTTAGATACTAATTTAGTTACAGCTTTAGGCAAAAAGATAATTTGGGGATGGTTGTCTTTTTTTTTTTTTTGTCTTTTTTGTTTCTATTGGTATCAGGGATCGAACTCACGACTGCCTGCTTGCAAGGCAGGCGCTTATGCCACTGAGCTAAATCCCCAGCCCCCAAAAAGATAATTTGAAGATCCTTTTAGATTTGTATATAGGGTCAATGTTACTGAATAATAAAGTTACGTGTGACTGATATAGATGAGATCATGATGTTAATAATCTACTCTAGATACCCACAAAAAAGAACACCAGACAGAAGACAAGCAAGCGACAGATTGTAAATGGTAAAAAGCACTTAAAAGTGCCTATAACAATGCCTTTGTATTTTCAGAAGAAGACACAGTACACAGATATAATTAAAAAGCAGCATAAGGAAACCACCTAAAAAAAAAACACCCACCAAAACCTAAAAGCCTACCAACAAACTCTTTTCCAGCCCAGACTTAACAGGATATAAAACCATCAAACAAGGCCAGATATGGTGAACACTTGTAATCTTAGAAATTAGAAGGCTGAGGCAAGATGATTGCCGTGAGTTTGAGGCCAGCCTAAATTGCATAATGAACCCCACCACCAAAAAGCCCCAAAGCCCAAACAAATCCAAAATGTCCCAAACTAGGAAAAATACATATAAAACACCACAGTTTTATCCTAAAGAAATGGATGCCCACAAGATGACGATGCTAGGGCTGGGGATTTAGCTCAGCAGCATAAGCACCTGCCTTGCAAGCAGGTGGTCATGAGTTCGATCCCTGGTACCAATAAAAAATGAACAAGACAAAAAAAAAAAAAAAAAAAAAAGATGGAGACGCTAAAAAAAGAAGAAAAAGAGATCCTTAAATCTGTGCAACTAGTATCAATTTCAAAGTGAAAAAAATTGAATTTTTAAAAAATAAAATATAACAAAAACATCTGAAAATAAAATTTTCCTTTTCCTTTGGGTTGGTTGGTTTTTTCCTTTTTTTTTTTTTTTTTGAGATGGGGTCTCACTTTGTAGTTCAGGATAGCCTCATCCTTTGGTTTTATTTAATTACCTGACCTCCGCAGTTTTCTGCTTCTTTGGGCTGTGCCAGGATGCCAATATTCTCCACAACTAAGGTAAATCTGTCTTTATCCCTTTTTTCAATCTACTTTTCCATGAGATCTGATATAATTCTGTAGCTTTCATTACCAACAACCTGAAAGATACCTCTAGTGTAACAAATTGAAATAATCTCTCTTTTCCCTCCTCAACCAGCTCCTCCTGTATTCAACTGCCGGGAAGGACACTGCTCCCAAACCAGGTGCAGGAGCTAGAAACTGGGCCATTTCATTACTGTCCTGTCAATCAGTCATACCTGTTACAGTCACTCTACTTTCTGAACACTTTTTGACTCCATTCACCTCTTTTCAATCTGATTTTCTTCTATGTAGTGCTTGGGATGGAAGTTTAAAAAACACGTTTCTTTAAAGAAGAATCTTATGTATGCTAGGCAAATGCTGTACCACTGAGCTACATTCCCAACCTAAGCTATTCTTCTATTCTTCATCTTATACTTTATTTTTATTTTTGCAGTACTGGGAATTGAACACACAGGCCTTCACACCTAGCTACATCCCTAGGAGTCCCTCTCACCTCCACTTTAAAATTTTTCTTTTAAATTTTGAGTCAGGTTTCACAAAGTTGCTCAAGCTGGGATCAAACTTTGATCCTCCTGCCTCAGCTTTCTCGAGTGCTGAAATTATAGGTACGTGCCACCAAGCCTGGTTTCAAGTCATGCTTGAAAGCAAGTATTCCTCCTGTTCCTCCTGTGGCTGTGATGGTAGCGTAACACCTTACTGTAGTCGTTTGGTTAAATGATAAGGATTATCTGTTTACACCGTTGCCACTGAGTCCCACATTTGACTGCATTTGCCTTACAATAATCATTCAAATATTGTCTTAAAAATAGCCTGATTAAGACTTCTTACATTTAAGAAGTGTTCAGAGATTTCTTTAAAGAAAAAAAAAGTGTTTTTTAAACTTCAGACTCCCCACAATATTTAACCTGGGGCCCTAACCCGATACGTCTTCAATTTTGTCTTTGTAAACTGAACGCTTCTAGAATATCGGAGAAACAAGCGCCTACATTTTTATTTTTGCGCTACCATTGAGTACAAGCCCTTTTACTTATTTTAAAACTGGAGACACATTCTTGCTTAATTATCCATGCTAGCTTCGAACTCACGATCCTTCAACTTGACTCTAGTAAATGGAATTACACATGAACAGCTACATTTTATTAAGCGATGAAGGAATTCATTTTGGGAAACACCGCTCTCGTTTCTGGTCCCGTATTTCCTGGGACGCACCTGAGCACTGGGTTCTCTCTCCCTGCGGCCTTCTCGGCGCACATGGCAGTATGCGCCTCCCGGGCCGTCAGCCCCACCCATCGGCCCCACACGTACTGGGAGCCAGACGCGTGCACATACCGGGAGTGCAGAGACAGCCACGCTGCAACCTCACGGAGCGCGGATTCCACTGGCCGAAGATCTGCGTGGAACACCGCTGGGAAGCGCGCACTGCGGCTGACCTGCGCCTCGCTTCACAGTGTAGCCCGCAAGAGTCATCTACTCAGCGGGGACTCCGGGGGCACAGCCGGAGTCTCACCTCTCTCCAACCGGCGCGAAATCCTGACGTCACGTGAGGCGCGGAAACCCTTCCGGGTTGAGAGCGAGGGGTCGCGATTGGCCTTTAAAATTTTTTTTTTTTTTTTTTTTTTTTTGAGAAGGCCTGCTATGTAGTTCAGGCTGCTCTTGAGCTCACTTTGTATCCCAGGCTTGTCTCGAACTCGTAAGGCTCCTTCTGCCTCAGCCTTCGGAATAGGACTATTGCCCTGCGCAACCACACCAGGCTGCCATTGCTTTATGAAGAAGGGCGCTTTAGCTAACATGGGGTTTGTTTAGGGGCTAGCGGGGGGGGGAGGGGGGCGGTGGTGCCAACCTGTAATCTTGGCACTTGGGAGGCTAAGAGAGAAGGATCGCCCGGAGTTCGATACCAGCCTGGGATACATAGTGAGTTAAAGGCCAGCCAGAACTACATCGTGAGACTGTTTTAAAAAAAAAGAGAGAGAAAAGTTAGGTATGGTGTCTCACGCTTGTAATCCCAGCACTCGGGAGGCTGAGGCTGGGGGACTGCTGTGAGTTCCAGGCCAGCGTGGGCTACATCGTAAGACCCTGTAACAAAAGAAAACAGCCCCAAACCCCCAAAAGCAAAAAAGAAAAAAAAAAAAAGTTTAAAAATCCTCTTAAGGTACTTTCTTCTTAGACTCTGTGTACTCACTAAAACAAAAATAATTTTTTTCTTAGTTTTTGAGGTCAAGAGTAGGAAATATTTATGGAGAGAAACAAAGAGGGATATAAAGGGATTTCAAGTGGTGGACTTTTGTTTTGTTTGAGACAGAGTCTCAATATGTAGTCCTGGCTGACCTCGAACTCAGAGCAATTCTTTTACCTCACCTTCCGGAGTGCTGGGTTTACGGGCGTGTGCCACCACACCTGACAAAATAAAAATATCACAAATTTTACACCTCTGCCTTAAACCCATCGACACTAGAAATTTAACCTTTAACTGTGTTTACCAGTTACCTAGTACAGTATTTGGCATATGGTTGACCCCTGCAAATCTCTTTCCTCCTGGTTGTTTTGCAAAAAATTTGAAAATGAAGTTTTACATTTGTTGGTAGTGTTTGGCCAAAAATCCAGTCTGTTCGTGTTTTGTTTAGCCCACACAGTGTTCCCAGATATTTTTTTAAATGTGTTTTCCCACTCTGAATAGCGAGTGAGTCCGAGGAGTACCTAGCTACGTTCCCAGCAGTTTTATTTATTTTGAAATAGGGTGTCTCTCCATTGCCCAAGCTAAACTAGAATTTAAAGTCCATCCTCCTGCCTTATTCTCTTAGTAGGTGGAATTGCTAGCAGGTATCTAGTAGGAATCTTGTTTGTTCTTTTTTTTTTTTTTTTGGTCTTTTTCCTTTTTATCGGTACCGGAGATTGAACTCACGACTGCCTGCTTGCAAGGCAGGCGCTTTTGCCGCTGAGCTAAATCCCTAGTCCCCTCTAGTAGGAATCTTAACAATGAGCTAGTATTGTTCTTAAAATCATTGGGAGGTGTAAATCAGTCTTTTTTTTTTTTTTTTTTTAACTTCTTTTAGTGGGAGTTAGTTTGTTATGTTGTCAGGGTTGGGCTTGAACTGGTGATCCTCTCACTATACCCTCTGGAGTAGCAGGTGTTCTGAGCATTCACTAGTCCTGTAGCTAGAAGTCAGTCTTTTCAACCAAACCGACTGCAGCATGAAAAGATTCAAGTTGGGCTTTTAGTGTATGTGAAAATTGGCTGAAAATGAATCAAAGACATAAATGTAAGAGTACAGTAAACTGTTAGGGAAACATGAGAAAAATTTTATGATAGTAGGTTTGACAATTTCATGAATGACAAAAATAAGACAGCAAAAGAAAAAATAGGCAAATTGCACTTCATGAAAATTAACTTGCATGTAAAATGACAATATCTATAGAGTAAAAAGGTAGAAAGGGATAAGTATTTACAAATTATGTATCTATAGAGGGATTAATGTTCAGAATGTAGAAAAAACTACAAGTCAACAAAAATCAAATAACCCGAAAGTAAACAGATCCCTGCATCATGACTCATGTCTATAATCCCAGCATTTAGGAGGCTGAGGCAGGAGAACCAACACCAGTTTGAGGCCAGCCTGGGCTCCATATGAGTTCAAAGCCAGCCTTAACTATATGATGTGACTTTGTTCAAAACAAACCAATAAAAAAGTAAGCAAAATTTGTGTGTGTGTGTGTGTGTGTGTGTGTTTTACTAGGGATTGAATGTAGGGTGTTTGTGCTGGGCTACAGCTTATCCCTCCTCCTTTTGCTTTTTATTTTGAGACAAAAATCTCTCAAAGTTGCACAGGTTGAGGTCAAATTGGTGATCCTCTTGCGTCAGCCTCCCAGCATGCTAGGATTACAGACATGTACTACCTCATCCAGCTGGAGAATCTGAATAAACATTTCTTCACGTACCATATACTAATGACCAATAAACACATAAAAAGATATTCATATATCTCTGCACCTGGCCCGCAGCAAACAACTTGTTCAAATAAACCCTCACTTCCATGCTAGTGTCCTATTGAAACAAACATTTTCACTCTCATTAATCATTGTGGACATAAAAATTAAAACCACAGTGAGTGTTGGAGATTTAGCTCAATGGCGTAAGAGCCTGCCTGGCAAGCGCAAGATCATGAGTTCAATCCCCAGCACTAAAAAAAAAAACAACAACAAAACACACACACACACACACACACACACAATGAACTACCACTTCAAATATTCTGGGGTATTTTTTTTTTTGTTTCATTTTGTGTGTGTGTGTGTGTGTGTGTGTGTGTGTGTGTGTGTGTGAGACAGGGTCTCACTTTGTAGGGCCAGCTGGGCTTAAACTCACTATGTAGCCCAGGCTGGCCTCAGACTCATGGCAATCCTCCTGCCTCAGCCTTCCAACTTCTAGAATTACAGGTATGTACCACTATGCTTTGAATATTGGAATGCTCATTAAAGAAATAAGAGGGCTGATGGTAGATGCTTTCCTAGCTTCCGTGATACCCTGGCTTTGATCACCAGCACCACAAAACAACAAACAAACAAACTGGAAAAAAGTACATCTTGGCAAGAATGTGGAAAATTGAAACTGTGCATTGTTGGAGGATATGTAGTGTTGCAACCATTATGAAAAAACAGGCTAGTGGTTCCTCAAAAAGCCAGTTGTAGGCTGGGGATTTAGCTCAGCGGCATAAGCGCCTGCCTTGCAAGAGCACAAACGTGAGTTCAATTTCTAGTACAAAAAAAAAGAGTCAATTATAGAATTAACATATGTAACAATGGATGGATAGATAGATAGTTGTAGATATTGAAGGAAGTAGGCCACTGCCATTTTAGCCATGTTGTGACCAGTTTGAGCTTCCCTCCTCCAGCTCCTTTTCCAAGAATAGACAGTCTCCAAAACAGTCTCCCGAACAGCTCCACCTCCAAAGCTCCACTGCAACAATGCTGGCTTCAGGGATGGGGATTTAGCTCAGCAGCATAAGCGCCTTCCTTGCAAGTGTGCGGTCGTGAGTTTGATCCCTGGTACCGATAGAAACAAAAAAGACCAAAAAAAAAAAAATGATGGCTTCATAAATCATAGCCTCAACATTGTAGTCTCCAAACAGCCTGCCCACAATTGCAATAGTTCAGTAGTCACAGACTCTAAAAACTCTTTCTCTTACAACTCTATAAAATCCCAGAATATGTAAGAGATGGTGCCATATTGGTGTCTCTCAGGTTCTTTTGTTTTGTTTTTTTTTTTTTTTTTGGTACCAGGATTAAACTCACGACCTTGTACTTACCAAGCAAGCACTTGAATCTCTAAACTAAATCCCTGGCACGCTCTCGGGTTTTAACCTCATTAAAACCTGTCCTCAACTGGGGAACTTGATTCCTTTTTCCTAACAAATATCACAATAAAAGAACATGAGAGGAAAAAAACAATCTATGCATCACAACATAGTATTTTTCAAATGATTTCCCAAAAGTGATACTATGTGAAAGTGTGGTTACTATCATGTTAGAAAGATGAGATAGGAATAATAAAATAATTATGAGTTTTTTTTACCCCAAACTTGGGAGAAAAACTCAAGAACAAATGTTTTTTAACAGTTAAAAATAGCAGTTATGGTGATTGTTGTTTTGTGTTCTTTTATCTTAAGGGGGATATACTGAATTTTCTGTTAAGTGTAATATTGCAATACTTAATTGTAGTGTCAATATATATAGACTTCAGCAGGTATAGGAAGTTTCATACTCTAAAGTTTGGTAAGTTTCTTTATGTGATAAATCTTTGGAAATGTTTCTAAAAATATGCAATTAAATATTGTTAATTTAATATTATTTGAGGTATGACCTATTCCCAATTTAGAATAGAGTAGTTCCAGGATTTAGGTAGCTTATTCTGCTTCCTATAAAAAGTACAGTAGTTTAATTTGTATTTTTTGGCATACAAGGAATGATTAATATTGGACACACAGTATTATGGTTTGAGTGTGGATGTCCCCCAAAGCCTCATGCAGTCAAGGAGGCAGGCTTCTAGAGAATGCAAATGACTCATGGTCCAATGCTGGGATTATAGCTATGAATGTAACCCAAGTGGGTGTGGCTTACATACAATATAAGGCACAGAAAGAGTCTTCTCTCCATGCTCCTCTCCTTTTACCCTTTTGCTCTTGTCACTTCTGATATCTGCCGCAGCTGCAAGGTTGCCCCTCAGCCACACCACCCTGACTTGGAGCCAGCTGATTATGGACTGAAGCTTCCATAAACTGAACTAAGTAAATCTTTCCTTCCTTTGTTTTGGGTGTCAAGAATGTGGTCTCAGCAATGAGAGAAAAGTAACTGACATACAAGATATTGTTAGAAGTACACTGTATGCCTGGCATGGTAGTACTCACCTATAATCCCAGCACTTAGAAAGCTGATGCAGGAGGACCTCTGCTAGTCTCTAAGGCCAGCCTGGGCTACAGAGTGAGTTCAAGTGCAGCCTGAACTACCTGGTGAGATTCTGTCTCTAAAAACACCACTACCCACAACAAAATACATTC